CCTGATATTCAAGCAAATCCCAGAGTGAAAACAGATTCTCCTTAAGCTTAGGCACCTGAGTGCGAGACCGGTGTTGTCTCGAACTTCCCTTCAGTGAACAAATGATTGTACTGTTGAGGCAATGCATGTTCCACCTACAATGTTGTAAACAAAACCATTATGAGAATCATTCCTTCAACAAACAGTGTCTTCTCAGTCACATACATGAGTCTCTTGGTTATAATCTGAATTGGTATCACTCCACAATAACCAGACTCCAGAAATATTTTACAAATTCGAAGAGAGAGAGGAGAGCCATACCCAGTCTCCATCAGTACCGGGCACCATTACATTGATCTCACTCGATTTGGCTGTTGTTATAGCGGTCTCTAACGAGTCTTTGCTTAGATATAACTGACAGCCAGTCGTGTTGTCCACAGAAACTGTGGGAGCCGAACCCTGTATCCAGCCATAGATGAAGTACAAGACAAAGCAAGAGCATCAGTGTTCACGAAAAAAATTGCAGACGTAATTGAGAAGCAAAAGGGATGGTCCTTAAGAAGTTACATTTGCAGCCATTGGGAAAGCTATGAGGATGATAGAAAACAAACCTGGCATTGCACTTCTACGTTGGTGCAGTTCACAATCTCAAATGCAGCAACAACATCCTACATATACAGAAATGTTAGATTTTACATTACAGAACTGTATACTCTAGGAAGTCAAGAGGAAACAGTATTATTCCACTCACCGTGAAGACGACACCCATTTTGGTGCATTTGTCAATGGTGATGTTATTCACTTTTCCTACAGATTATGGAACAGCAGTAAGGGCCCTCAAAGATTTTTAAGCAGATATCCAACTTTCACGGTGAAATTAGAATGGCGCAAAAGTTACCTTGTATCTGCAGGACAGAATCTTTGCAACCAAATACATACACAGACTGTTTGGCATCACAGTCGCTGATAACCAAGTCCTTCTTCCCAATTTGGTTCTCAACAGCCCACCTAATAATTCAGTAGAAGCCAACAGTCATATTATAGTATTTCTACCATAGTTTGCATTTGAACCATGTAGTTATTGTTAGTAAAACCCACTTGCGACCCATTTGAAGTTCCAGTTTTGGTGGTCCGGTTTTCGAAAAGGCCGGTTTACTGGAACGAGTTTCCTTCTCAACTGCACTAACTGCTCCAGATCTATCAGCACGGTTCTTTGTCTTCATATCATCCGTCACTTTTCTAAGACCTGGAAAGCAAAGAACGAGAATCATAAGCTACTTGTGATTCACATTTCAAACAGACATCGCGTCATAAATAAGAAGACATACACAACTCCAAGCTTACCTGAGGTCACAGAACCTGAGCTGAGCTGCTGGAAAACAGCAGACATCCCTTTCTGGTTCGACGACGATGATGGCTTTGAAGATTCAGAACTAAAAAGGGATGCAGATGGTGCTGGTGGAGGAGCAGGAGCACCAGGTGGACCCTTTGCAGGAGCACTAGCAGGTTTCCCTGATGCATTCCATACAGGTCCCAAGGGGTAATGACTTTTAACATAATCCCTTAAACCAGGCAAATAAAGTTCTTTTAAGGCTTTAGCCCATTCCACATGATCGGCGTCTTTGTTACGGTACTCCACCAGAACCTGTAAAAAACATTGAGATCAGAGAATTAACAATGTAACAAACAGTAACTTAAGCTAATGCAATCTAAATATACAACTATAAATTCCCTATTCCCTATAGTTTTCCAGACGCTTTTAACAATTTCAGAAACACACTTAATTTTCTGTATCAGAAGCTCTTTATAATTAGCACCTTATTGTTGTAAAACTCAGCCATCTGCCAACTTTCTTCCACATGAGCGATTGGCATGCTCATACCTTGCAGGGCAAAAAAAAAACAAGAAAAGGGCAAAAGAAAATCGATTACAAGATTTTACATCACAAAATGCAGAATTTCAGAATCCAACATGGTGGCTTTATGCTTACCACAATCTTTTCCAGTGAAAGCAATCCATGCCAATGCAGATAAACTATCAGATGCAGCCTTTAAGTGATTGAAGAAATCCGACCTCTTTCCTCCTGTCATTGCATCAGCTTTCATAGTAACTTCACTCAACGGCTTCAGAAATCCAGCCAATCCAGCCATGTCAGGCTTCTGTTCAAATCAGAATAACATCCAAAAAACCAAAATCAATTCCAATCCACAACGAAACCATCAATTACACATAGTATCAGGATCTTCTGTTCCATCGAAAAACTCAAAAACTTAACCTGAGATTGCTTGATTTTGACAAGCAGGTCCTTTTGCGTAGCAAATGCTTCGGCGACAATCTTCGTAACATCTAGAACAGGTCCACCGATCTTCTCAGCCGCACCCAAAGCCCTACCAACGCATTGAGAAATCAGATCGTCATAAGCCAGAATCGATGGATCAGACGCCGCCGCCGCAACATCGGTTCCGACACCACCGGCGGAGAAATCTCCTCCGCGAGAAAGAATAACTCCTCCTCCGTTGCTTGAGATCCCTTCAAGCCTCGTAACCGCAGCTTCAAGACGCTTAATCAAATCCTCTTCCATTTTTCGATCAAACACAGATCTGGACTAAATCGATTTTAGATTGGATTTGATTTTTTGCTTTTTTGTGTGGGGAATGTGGTTTTGTTTGTGGGGTTCATGATGATGGAAAGTCAGGAGAATATGTGATGACACGTGGCGTTGGTTGGATGAATTTACCAATCGCAGGTAATGGAGTGGTCGTGGACTCTTGGGTCGTGGACTGTGGGTCCGAGATCCGAACCCGGACCCAAACTGGATCCGAAATGTCTGAGTCCGGTCATTCATGGTATGGTATCAATTCCAATCGGTTTTCGGTTCGGTTGTTTCAGATTTCTGAATATTTCGGTTCGAAAATAATCGAGCGGAACTGGAAACCAAACTAAATTCGGGTTGAGAACCAATCGGTATCGAATCACATACCGAGTTTTGGTTTGGTTTGATTTGGTTCATACAAATTTTCACATGGCTAAGCAAAATAAAAAGAGAAGAAATGTAAGATATTCAACTTTATGTGGGTTTCACTTTTTTTTTTTAATTATACATATATGATATTTACAAATTACAAAGTCTTAAGAATCTGAATCACAATCTTCATACATGTAATTCACTTTTTCAATCTTCTCTTATGCTCTCAACTCATTACCGATCTATGTAATACTCAAAAATATAGAACAATCGTGGAAACATCTATCAATCTTCTTGTGTAGCACACAGCTTCATCAACTCTCAAATGGTCTGAACATTCTTGTTTGTCTGGATTGATCTGTGTTCCTATATTGAATAAAAGCATGTGTTAATCAAACCATGTTACAAAAAAAAGGGCAATAAAATTGCATAATTTGTCAAATTCTCTTTTTTAGATTTTGGGAACTTACAGGGCGAAAAGGGAAATCTTCAGCTTCAAGCATGTGAATGATTTGTCCCATCTTTGGTCTTTTATTAGCATCAAGGTCAATGCAACGCAAACAAACGAGCAAAGCTCTTTTTAAAGCTCGAGGAGGAGGTGGTGGATTCTTGATTTTAGGGTCTACAACTTCTTCTCCACGTCTACTTGCAACCATTCCTTTGAACCAATCCACTAAGTTCATCTGAAAAAAACAAAAACAAAACATTTTACATATGTTCTTGGGAGGAAAAGATTGTTAAATTCAAATTCCTCGATATATCACGAGATTTACCTCGCCAGGCGGTCTTGAATAATCGACTGGACTCCTTCCTGTAATAATCTCCATAAGCAGAACACCGAAACTGTAGACATCACTACACTCATTGAGCATACCGGTACTTGCATATTCGGGTGAAACATATCTGCGTAAATTTACAAAAACATGTAAGAAATGAAAATGTAGAGTAACAATTGGTAATTGAAAGAAGAGAGGAGGGTTATATACCCAAAAGTTCCCATCACACGAGTTGTCACATAGCTTGTTTCAGATCCTAATAACTTGGCTAAACCGAAATCAGACACTTTCGGGTTCCATTTCCTATCGAGCAAGATGTTACTAGACTTGACATCACGGTGGACAACTTTAGGTTCAAGCCCTTCATGTAAATAAGCTAATCTGTTCATCAAAAGGCCAAAGATTAAAACGCTAAAATGCGAATC